TTAATGAAAAATATGACATCATATTTTTATATATTATTTATAGCCGGACTTTCATTTACTCACCTTCATGTTGTTCCATATAGACTTTCTTCTGAAGTCAGATATTAGATGAATGATTTTGGACCCTATATTTATTTATCTTTTGCGTTGAGCAGAAGAAAGAAAATCATTTTGGAAGTTTGGAATGACTTGAGGGTGGGTAAATTATAAATACATTTTCATTTTGGGCTGATTAAAGTAAAATAAGATAAAATAAAATATAATAAAATAATATAAAAATAAATAAAAATTAATCAAACTGACGACATGAGATTGCACCAAAGAAAGTAATTTCCGGGTCAGATGAGACATTGACTGCATGTTGTCATTTTTTTACACAACAACGAAATTAAGCAATCTTTTGCTGTTCCCTTGTTGTGTCAGCATTTGCTGTGGAAGTTTTGTATTTAATGGCTCTCAAATAAAGACCAGATAGCTAGAGGGAAGTGTGTGGGAAGGTAAGTTCGACTAAACCCTAAGGTAACAGCGAGAACCTGCAGTATCAGCCGTCTAGCAGTCACTGCAGTGACTCTGTTCAGCACTGATAAGAGACTCGGGTGGACCCAGCAGATGCACATGCACACATAACCCGTCACACACTCTTAATAATCTTTAGAGACAGATAGCGTGATGTTCGTAAGATGATCCTGATCCAGCATTTGATGTGCCATATGATTTATCCCCTGGCGGTTTCCAAGCCATAAAGTCGTCACTAACACGAGTGTGAAATTATGTACAGGAAGGGATGAGCGCTTGCATTCTCATAGAGGAAACATTTGTTCTCTCTGAGTTGCTGTTCCCCTCTCTCATCAGAAGAATAAAGTGCAGGCTTGCTCGAGCACACAATGAGAATGAGAAGCGATTGTTTTAACCTCTATCTCGTGGCCTTTGAAGATGTGATTCGCTTCCTCACCTGAAAGAAGTTTCAGAACTCTGCACAGTTATGATGAGCGAGAGCAACCCAGGCCTGCTCTGCTTTGTTATCATCGCAGTCATCTCTAACAATGAAAAACAGTGTCTGCTGTGTGCACATGTGAACATTTCAATGGAGGGGGGGATGGGCCAGGTCATTAGAGCAGGAATAAAGGGAGGGCAGTAGACACAGGAAACAGAGAAACATGTTGACAGAGTGCAGGAGGAGGAAATGTTGAGAGATTTGACAAGAGAATGGAGGTATATGTATAGGTATATATGTATACACAGTCTCAACGGCTTGCCCACCAAACCCCTACTGGTCATTCAGTGATGGCCATCTACTGACCAGACCCTGTTCAGTTGGACATTATTATATTTCCTGCAGAAGATATGCTTGACCAGTGGTGTTGGTTTGATTTTGAAATTGGTGGGGACGGGGACATCAATATATAAAAAAATTATTCGAAATAATCGAAATTATTGCTAGGGATATATCAGTGTCACTGGATATTGGTTGGGACAGGTCTCTAACATCCCTAATAAATTCTACGCCCCTGTGCTGGACCATGTTGCATCAGTGAAGTCATAGGTACCAGGTAGGGCCTAAAAATGTATGGTGCTTCATGTGGTAATATATAAATTAACTGGTTTTATTGGATTTAAAATAGTCTTTAATATGAAAAATAAAGACTGGTTTCAAACTTGTTTCTCAAAAACTCTGTAATTGGTTGGCCAAACTGATAGCCCCTAAATGAAAACTATTGTTGGGCAGGTTGAGATGTTCAAACAGTGCCACAGGGCAACAGATTTTACATTTTTCATGTAATTCAATCTAAAGGGTTTACTTTTAGTTCTTTTTACATATTAAGATAATAAAATGAAAGTATCTTGACAAAAAAATATAAACTTAGAATAATGACTGCACATTATCTTTTAAAGGGAAAGTTTTCCTAAAAATACATAGTCTTTCATAATTTACTCAAGGCGTAAAGAGTACCTAAAAACTTGTAAAAGTACAGATAAGTATACCGCAAAACTGACTCACCTATTCTACGACATGAGTAAAAGTGTTAGATCTGATTTTAGCAGTACTTAAAAGCATTGTTCACCTACATTTTTTTTATTCTGTCATAATTTACTCACCTTTATGTAGAGGCGTAAAGTACCTGAAAACTTGAAAAAGTACAGATAAGTTACAGCGAAACTGACTCACCTATTCTACGACTTGAGTAAAAGAGTATCTGATTTTAGCAGTACTTAAAAGAATAGTTCACCTACATTTTTTTATTCTGTCATAATTTACTCACCTTTATGTTGTCACCCAAACCTGTCTGAGTTTCTTCTGTTGAACACAAAAGAAGATATTTTGAAAAAAATGTTGGTAACTAGACAGTTGATGGGCCTCATTGACTTCCATAGTCTGGTTACCAACATTACATGGGATTCACAAGTATACCTGCTCATGCACTCAAATTTGTGTAAAGTAGCCTTGTTGACAAGTTTGGGTGAACAAGGACAAAACGCACAAGTTCTACCTTTAATGCCGTGTAGATAGAGATATCACTTCTTTTGTAGCAGAAATAAAAATTTGGTGCCCTGCAAAATGTAAGGAGTAACTGGATTACTCATTACAAATATTGGAGTAGAGAGTACATATACTTATTCAAAAATGTCTTCAGTCAAACTACAAAGAAGCCAATAAGATTCTTTAGTACAGCAACTAATTAGGCTACATTTACACTACTGCCTTCAAATCGGTCCAAACCTGCTCGATTTTCTTTGTCAATACAATATCAACTGACAGCATTTTTATCCTTTTTATTGTATGAACAAAATACATAAAAACACTGAGACATATTTCAAAACTCTAATGGGGGATATATTTCCCAATAGCATTGTGAGCTAGATGATCGAATGGTCTCTTCATGATCAACTTGGGCTTAGAATGCTTTTGGGACTCAGTTCAGTTGGACATTATCATATTTCCTGCAAGTCGCTCCTGGTATGCTTGACCTGCATGTTGCATCAGTGATAACCTGATTGGCAATCATCACTGAATTTATAAGTACCAATTGCATCACTTTACTGTTATTTGACATGCACATTAGTGTGAGTGTCAGATTGACTTGTTTTATATTGATCTGATGGAAGTACCACATGTACATACCCACTCAAATTAATCAGTACATGCCAGGGCCATTTTTAGCCATGTGGAGTGCGTGTGTGAATTCCCGTGGAGGGGGGATGGATTATGACCATGTTGCACACACATGTTGCTTTTAATGACGGGTTTTAATAAAAGAGCTTTGGATTAGGCATAAACTCTTTTTTATTTATGGAATATCACATTATGATCATTGAATATCACCAGCACTCACCAGCTGAGCTTCACTGCAAATATGCTGCCCTAGTTGTGTTATCAGAGCAGATTGCTCAGAAAATAAAATAGATATATGAAGTCGCAGTTTAGTACATTTCAAATATACAAATTTTAAATGTAATATCAAATAACACACCACAGTTAAAATTATTATCAAGTACTTGTGCATGTGCTTTAGGCATCAAAATAAGTATGTGTTTAAAGCAAGGCAAAGGATCAATTAAGAATTATAATTTAGAATGTGCTCATATGTTAAATATATAGTATGTTTTGTCAAAAATAAACCAATCAACTGTTATCCAATGCAAGCTAATGCAATGCACATATCAAAATAAAGAATCCGAGATGGGTCCCTCTGATCTACAAGCAGATCAGAGTGTCTCAGAGCAACATTTCAGCTCAGGTTGGGGCGGCCTTAGACCGGTCTTTGGCCTTTGGTCAGACCGAGAGAAATGCCTTCACATGTCTGGAGATGCTGGCAGTCGAGAACGAGCTGAATCGCTTCCTCCTGTTCTTACAGGACCAATACGTTCTTACCCGCTTGGACAACATGTCTATTGTGTCCTTTACGTGAACCGTCAGGGCGGTATCAGATCCAGGAGCCTCTGTGATCTGACGGAACGCCTACTTGTTTGGTCCCAGCACTTTCTGTGCTCGCTGAGAGCGGCACATGTGCCGGGGAATCTGAACGATGGCTCGGACATACTGTCCAAGGACAATATTCCCCCCGGAGAGTGGTCTCTACAGCCCCAAACAGTCAAAGTAGATATGGCGTTAGGTAACCCAGTGAAGTACAAGTGTACATTCAACAAAATTAGGTACACTTCTTTTTCACAAGGATCTCCAAGTCCATTAACATTTCTAACATGTGAAAATTACAAAAATAGTCTTTAAAAGTGATATTCGTATACACCAGAATGAGAAGATGAACTGAAAGGCCAATGTCTTTTGACATTGTGTATATGTTAAATTGTCCGTGAGAGTTTATTTACTGTCAGTTTATTCACTTTAAAGTTAAATGCAATTGAGATGCATACTAGTAGTAAAGGCTTTATGTTTTAATTTATACTGCATGTGACATCCATTTAGTGCAATCAATGGCTTACATCACTTTTGAGTAGGCTAAATAACAGATTCTTATGACAGAAAGTAATCTTCTACAAAGCTAATAAAACAGTTAATTGCTCATCTCAGCAACTCAACACTTTCTGAGTTGGTCTAAGCAAACAAACAAACAAACAAACAAACAAACAAACAATCAAACAAACAAACAAACAAACAAAAAACAACAACAACAACACACCGGACAAAGCAAAAGAAACAAGAACTGTTGTTCTGGTTAAAAATCAGAAGTGCAATGAAGAAAATGTTCACCATTCAACAAAACATAAGGTTATTTAAAATGGTTATTTAATAAAACTAGTGCTGTTAAAACAAGTATTGATCTGTCTGACTCTTATATATCTATATATAGACTCTTATAGACTCTCTCTATATATAAAAGTCTATATATATAAATTTATTTATTTATGCTATGCTTACATTGCATTCGAATTTCGCTAAAACTGTAACTAGTGCCTTTAAAGTTCCCCAAATGTATACCACAATTCTAATAAACTAAATGTGTCAAAAGTGTCCGGTAGGTGAAGAGTTAACCTTAGCTTCGCAGTGCATTGTGGGATAGCAAATGATCAGCGATGGCGGCGAGACCAAAGCTCCTGAAACTTTTCATTGTAACTTATTTGCATGTAACATTCCTTTCTCTGAACTACTTTATCGATGCTGCAGACGTGACGTGGGATGAAAACGGATACATTCTGTACTGCCCGTGCATGGGTAACGAGAGCATGATACATATGACTGAGACACTGAAAATCACACATACAGATATAAACTAAAGCGCCTGTATCTGCCTGTATGTGTTGTGTTGGAATAATAAACACATTTCTATGGTGTGTTCCTCTTTAGGTCGGTTTGGAAATCAAGTGGATCATTTTCTTGGATCACTGGCTTTTGCTAAAATGCTTAACAGAACACTCGCGGTTCCGCCGTGGATTGTTTACCGTCATCACTCCCCCCCTTTTAAAAACGTAAACACAACACACGTCACTACTTTGACTAACGTTACACATTTATTCTGTACCTCTACACTTTTGGAAAGTTTATCTTTAGCTGGTAGGGTTTTGAAACAGAGTTGCTAGTTTATAGCCTAGCTGCTGCAAGTTGTTCATTATCTTTCAAACCAATGTTAGCAGTTACCACTGTATTATTTGTTTCATTTTTATATATTAATGTTTTATTGTATTTAAGTTTTATTTTATGCTAGTGTTATTATTTTATGTTATTTTATCTTTATTTTAATTGAAGAATACTCCCAAGTCCAAACTGATTTTGAGTAGTTCCAAACTGTAGATCAACTAGCTACCAGCTGTAATGACCAGCTGTCACACTAATAGTGTAGTACATGGGGAAAGTACAATTCATTGATAATGTATGGTATGCTCCTGTGTCTCTGCAAACAGGTGCACATCCCTTACAGTGAGTATTTCCAGTTGGAGCCAGTGAAGCAGTACCACCGTGTGGTGAGTCTGGAGGACTTCATGGAGCACTTGGCTCCTAAGCACTGGCCCCTTGGTCAGAGATTCGCCTACTGCTTCGAGTCCGCATCTCACAGGAGCGTGGACAAAAAGAGCTGTCCGATGAAGGTAATATGGATGTTCATTCTTCAAGGTGCTTGAAGTGCAATTGTTGGCGATTGCAATTAAAAATACTGTAAGTTTATGCTCTACTTTAGACTGCAGACATTTAACTGATGTGGAAATATAGTTCCCAGTATTAATACGGCTAAAACATGTCTGTGTCTCACATTACCTTGTTATTTGTACACTCTGTGACTATACACATCGCAACATGTAAATAGGAAAATGTTAGCATTATTTTGTCACTTATTTGGATTAGTATGCTAGCTGCAATCATTTACATCCAGTCTTTGTGCTAAGCTAGGCTAGCGGTAGGTGCGTCAAACAGACTTATAGCACGCACGGAGATGAAAAAGGTATGTATGAACTTTTCTAACTCTGAGGGATACGATGAATAAGCTAAAGTCCGAAAAAAGGCTGATCAACGATGGCACACACCATGGAAACACTGCCATCTGTTGGATTTTTAGCAGATCTGCATGTTGTTTCATATCGCACAAATGTCATGACAGTGTACTTGTAATACAGCCTGTTTTTCTGATGCAGGTTGGAAATCCTTTTGGACCGTTCTGGGACCATATTGGAGTCGATTTTGACCATTCCATTCTTTTCGGAGGTCTGTCATTTAGCTCCTATTACCAGCCGCACTGGATAAAGAGGTAAGATTAAGCTGAAATACTCACGTTAATCAAAATGATTGTACTCAAACTCCCTTCACCTTAATGTTCTCACTCTCAATCTCTTGTGTTTTTCTTTTTGTTTAGGTTTCCCCCAGCGGAGCATCCCGTTCTCGCTCTTCCAGGAGCCCCAGCTCAGTTCCCTGTACTGGAGGAGCACATTGGACTGCAGCAGTATGTGGTGTGGTCTGACAAACTGGTACAGGAAGGAGAAGGCCATATCAACACCCTGCTAAGCAGACCCTATGTGGGCATCCATCTGAGGATTGGCTCTGATTGGGTAAGCTCTGTGTCTGTAAGCATAAAGCAACCAAATATATAAATAAACAGGCTATGGTTGATCTGAGAAAACCAATGTAAATGATGTGAATACCGTCATTACATATTTGTGCTCCAACAGTATATCTGAATGAATGTGGCTGGTTTTATGAGATTCCTGAAGCATCAATACCAAGTGTAGGATATTAGACCTAATGTGTCCTGAATCAGGTGGTACACATCATATCCTCTTAACTAGTCTTTTTACCATTCCACACAGCAAAATGCCTGCAAGCTTTTGAATTCGGGTGATACTGGTCCTCACTTCATGGCGTCTCCACAGTGTGTGGGATACGACCGGAAAACTGCCCTGCCGTTGACCATGACCATGTGTTTACCGGATCTGTCCGAGATCCGTCGTGCTGTGAAACTCTGGGTGAAGAACACCAGTGCTCAGTCAGTATACATCGCCACCGACTCCGAATCGCACACCGCAGAGATTGAGAAACTCTTCAAGGGCAAGGTGAGGCAGGCCCGGTTCTAGAACCAAATCACTGAGGGTGCTTTTGAAAATAGTGAGGGTGCTCAAATGTTAAACAATGTACAATATCCATGATCGAGTAGCCTATGTCCCTGTAGGAGTTTTTGACCTTTACATATCATTTCATATAGTTAAGATAAGAAATGTTACACACAGAGTGCTTTTTCCCCAAATAACAGCAGTAGCCTGTTGCAAATGTGTGAAGTATTGAAACTGATTTTAGTTAATAAAAGTAACGTTCATGTTAGACATTTAGTTTATGACGACAATGAATCACTGCTTTTAAACGAAAGAGCTGATTTAAAGATTAAATGCTGGTCACTCGACGGCGTCGGCACTTGCTGGGATTTATCACGGGTGTTTGAATGAGTGTCATGCGGTGAAAGCATAGGCGTCGATTTCGGTGGGTACGCGTCCCCACCAGATTTCGTCATTAGTAATTTTGTACCCACCACTTTTGGAAATATTGAGGCACGAACCTACTACAAATAAAACATCTCCAGTTAACTAGCAGAGTATTCATTTAGTTCGCTCTTACAGTAATTAAGAGATCTAGCTAGCGGTTAAATTTTATGTTTTTGAAATCAAGCTGAGCGCTTGTTGCCACTGCTGTCAGTTTCATGGATACAGTTCTCTTGCGGACACGCACTACGCGCACTTCAATCTACCGCCGTTGCAGAGACTCTCCATTCATTCCAATATATATATAGATACATTTATTGGCTATCTAAAGGCAGCCCCGTCTCAATAACGAATTTCCTGAGCGGGACGCACACACGCAAACCAAGTGCAATTAAAGAGACGGGTTCACCTATGCGTATTACGATCGCGAAAGGACACAACCAATCCAATGCATTAAACATGAAATACTGAAATAAATTCTGATGTAAAAAATCGCGTTAATGGATTTATATTGTGTAACCTATTATTTGTATGAGTGTGAAATCCATCAGTGTTTCTTTTGTCTGCAAAATCTCAACATGTGTGCGAATTAAAAATTAATCTGAGGGTGCTTTCACTTTTGTTTGAGGGTGCTTAGCACCCTCAAGCACCCCCGTAGAACCGGGCCTGAGGTGAGGTTTTACATATTAACATTACAAAAGTGTGAACGTGTTTTAGGAAACAGAATATAATAGTGTTGACACGTTTTGTGCAGGTGAAGGTTGTGAGCTTGCAGCCGGACACTGCTCAGGTCGACCTGTACGTCCTCGGCCAGGCCGATCACTTCATCGGCAACTGTGTCTCGTCCTTCTCGGCCTTTGTTAAAAGGGAGAGAGATGTTCACGGGAAACCGTCATCCTTCTTTGGCATGGACTACCCAGGAAAAAGGGAAACAAAAGAGGAACTCTAATGAAATTAAGAGACGGCGTTTTTGTAACTGTGAAGACTGGTTGATGTTTTGCATGTTTCAGGTGTCATTACATTAAGGGAGAACAACGGAAGTTAGTTCCTTATTGATTTCCCGGGACACACCATATCTCCCATTTTGCACTACTAGCCTAAATGTGAGCAACCAAACCAGAAAAAAAATGCTCCACTAGATCTTGCTCACTGTTTCTTCTAGAAAGAAGTGGGTATTTATCATGGCATATCGATTTCTGGTATATGTTTGTACAGAGTGGCTGATTTGAGGATAGAAACTGACTCGTGTTAGGGTTTTGGAATTATGATCGAGAGACTAGTCAGGTGTAAGCGGTTAGAAATTGCACTAGAAATTGCAGCGGTTTCTGAAAATGTATTAAAAATAACATTGAATGCATGTCATACAGACTTTCTGGTGTAATATTGCAAATTATTTTGAAAGTCAGTGTGAAACCGAATGGCAGAAATGTTTTATAAGTGTTTTATGCTGTTTGTAATTGTTAGGAATTTTGTATTGGGTGACATTCCCCAAATTAGTTTATCAATTGAAAATAAAACAAGTGCATTTGTATCCTTTGTTTATATCCTTCCACTTAAATGCAGTGATTACTATAAACTTTTCAAATGTTTAGGGTTGATGATATCTTTTTATGTTCTTGAAAGAAGTTTGTTATGCTCGGCTGCCTTAATTTGGTGATAATAGAGTTAAAGGTATATTTTAAAATGTATTTTATTCCTGTGATCAAATCTGAATTGTCAGCATCATTACTCCAGTCTTCAGTGTCACATGATCATTCAGAAATCTAATTCTAATATGCTGATTTTATGTTTAGGAAACTTTTGTCAATTTGGATCAAGTTAATGTGTCCTTACTGAGTTTTAAATTAGTGTTAATTTATAGTAGTAAATATTCTTTAATCAAAAAAAAACTTTGTCAGCAAATTGTCGTTCATTCATTCCTTTTTTTAGTGCTTTATTGTTTTTCTATTACTTTAATAACAAAACAAAAAAATATACAAAGCTACAGTGGACATTTGATACTGCTTTTGAAAAAAATATGGCAAGCCGTTTTGACTTTTATTCATTTAGTTAAAATGCTAATTCTTGAAATCATGAATTTGATTTCTACTAGTAACAATGGCAATTTTTGATACCAGGAATTAAATTTTCCACTAGTAAAAATGTTAATAGCTTATTTACACGACATCGCTGCTGTGGGATGGAGGTAGGGTGACCACCCGTCCCGCTTTGCGTTGTACTGCACAGCATTTTCACCCCTTGTCCCGCACGTCGCACGTCCTGCATTTTCATCAGTCTATTGTTTTTTTAATTATCATATTAAGAAAACATGCATGCGTTCTTTTGCCTTTTTAAGAAAGCATTTTACTTATTACTTTTGCTGTTGTTCAGCACTTCATGCTGCTGCATCTTCTCTCTCTGCACTAGGCAAGCGCTTTTGCAGGTGTCGATACACACTCGCGTTTAGGAGTCGGGACATGACAGAATATTCACTTGCACAATCGGGCCAGCATTGAATCGTAACCTATGATCGTAACTAACGTTTATCATTTTCACGTCTTTTTAAGTTTTACCAGTTTAAACATTCAAGCAACGTTAAACCATCCCGTGCTCGCACACTCTCAGAGATGTCTTTCACTGCGTGCATATACAGTAAAGCCTAAATCCGCCTCACAAACAGCTCGCCAGAAACAAACGTTTTATCCCTGGATTATATCGCTTTAACAGTTAAAAACACGCAAAATTATGTCAAAACGCTGGCCTTGGTGAGTAACCTCGTAAAGACAGTCGGTTATGTCTTAAATTAGCATTAAATGCGTGGACTAAAAAGACTATCCAGTATTATTTTACATTGGATTTCTTTATTCAGTTTCTGTAGTATTTCTGACACACCAAAAATGGGGGAAATGTTTTTAGATAAACACTGAAAAAGTTGTCGGAATTCAGTGATGGTGACGTTGAAGTCCTGGGACCATGGTGTAGGCTAGTTCATTTATAGCCAGCTTTTAGCTTTTTACCTCTGGCGAAGTCTTCATTTAGGCATCAAAATTGTATGTTCACTAGTTGCAAAAGAATGGGCTATATGCACGCATAAGTTCCGCATTTGACGTAAGGATGCTCGTCCATTTCCGGTTGTGTAGATTAAAGCGGAGGAAAACCGGAGAAAACGGGATTATGGCAGAGTCTTCAATATTTACGGTCCTCCTGTCTTTGAAACGAAACGTACATACGTTTAGATGTAATTTTATATATAGTTATGTTTATTTAATATAATTTTAAAAAGAAGCATAAACACAACGAGGGGTGTCTGTTTTATCTGTTTTTGTGACTAATGTTTCATTATTATAACCATGGAGTATAAAATTCAATATAAATTCTCGGTATTGCATTGGACTCTATGATCGGCGGAAGTTATCGAGCATCCTTAATCCTTCACCGGAAATAACGCCGTGCATAGAGCCCATAACGTTATTGTTGATATCAAGAATTCTTATCCTTGGCATGAAAGTTAAAACGGCTTGCCATAGGCTGGATTGATCCAGCAGCAGTAACGGTAGATCCATCCCGGCCTGCAGGGGGATCACCTCTCCCTTTCTCCCTCCCTCTCTCACACAACCACAGACAGCCACAGACATGGCTGACAGAGTTCGTGAGGAGAGATACGGGTAATTTTGCATATTTAATCTCTTGGCAGGTTTGAGGTGTATGCTTCTGACGGATATGAAGACGACTGCGTTTTTTGGTGTAAGTCGCAGGTTAAATAGTTGGGGATGGGAGAGGTGAGTCACATCATTTATGTCTAACGTTATATGTATGCGCTGCTGTATAAATGACACGGTTTGTTTGCCGTTGCCAGGCCGCTTGTTTTGAGTCTCTGAGGAGCGCCGTACGTCCTCGATGACCCGTTTGCACCTTTACAGCTAATATTAACGAAATGATATGATACGATGATTAAATAATTTAATTTCAGTTGAAACAATTACGTTTTCAACAAAAAAGACAATTCTTGTCTCTCGTATTTAACGTGACTCTTTAGTCTGTTGCCGTTATCTCTCGTTATTTCATGACAACCGAGACTGAGATTTACATACTTTAAACCATACATATATTTGAGATGAAATAATGTAAAATGGGCTCATGTAAATTAGCACTGATGCTACAGCTAATATTGCAGTTTATGGACTATGTAGCATCGTATAAATCATAATTGTGCGGTCAATGTTGGATGCCAAATTTGGGAATAATGTAACTTACTGAAGAATTTTATACTGTAACGTTAACTTTACTTGAACAAATTAGCAAATTATTTATTATGAACGTAATTATTTCTCGCAAGAAAACAAACAGATCGTTTTTACAATTGGTTTGGCTATAGTGAGGTGGCTAAATTTGGCTCCTTTAAATATATTAATATGAGGCTACTTGTAAATTTTAGTCCAAGTTTGGTAAGGAAAATATTATTAAGGAGTGTCAAAAACAACTTTACATGTCTGTAACGTTAGAAATGTTGGTTGTATATTCTAGCAACCGATTCATCATAATCAAGCTGGTCACTTTCTAGCCTCTGCTCTACACTTTATTTGGCTTGTTGTAAAACTACAAAAAACTTAGCATAACTCTTAAAACTTAGCATAACTCAAAAACATAAGTCCTAGAATAATATCACAATGTTTATTAGCTTACAGCAAATAAACATTGTGATATTATTTTTGGAGTACAAATAACTGGCTACAGGAGATATGCTATTTTGATATACAGCCAACCATAATATTGAATGAATGTGATATTGAATGTGATATTGAGGTACCATGGCATTTCTAGTATTCAAAGTTCTTGACCATTCTTAATTTATTGGAATATTGCAGTATTTATAAATTGTTTATCTGTGCACATCATATATATATATATATATATATATATATATATATATATATGTATATATATTATTATTTTTTTTATTATTATTAATATGTCCACATAATCTTTATTAATACAAATAACTTCCCTTCCATCTCTGATGACGAGGGCGGGACAGCCTGTCACTCTCATGAGATCACAGCAATAGCAAGCGACAACCATCTGATCAGTTTCCCATGGACAAAATCAAGTCCCGCCCTACTTTTTTCTTGTTCGAGAAGCCATTTCACTTGGATATGTCACAATAGGAAAGAAAAGACTATCGCAACTTTCATGCTGATAAAAAACTAAAAAACATGGTATACATGTCCAAAAAACAACAAAACAAACAAACAAAAAACATGAATGTTTTTTTTTCTAGTCAGTTTGTTTAATTGAATTTGGAATTCGACATGAAGTCAAATTCTTATAATGGCGACGTCCGCTTGATTTAAAATTGCTGACTCAATTTTTGTTAGCCTACCAAATATGTTTTTATCATTCTGTCTTTTTTTAAAAAAATGATTACTACAGTTGCCTTAAGTTAACTAGACAAATATTTGCTATGTTTGTTTGCTGTAACCATAACGCACGTTATTCATATTTATCTTTTGGCTTTGTGCATGTTTCTGTCATTTCACTGAGTTGCATCATATTTTTCAGGCTCTGATGCTGGCAGCACCATTACTGTGAAATAAACTCCAAACTCAGAAGATATACCAAAGCACTACAGAAGGCTACAAAATGTCCAAAAGCAAGAGCTCTGAATCCGTTAAGGTAGTGGTGCGTTGTCGCCCCATGAATGAGAAGGAGCGAGTCGCCAACTTCGATAGAGTGGTCTCTGTGGATGTGAAGTTAGGGCAAGTGGCCGTGCGCAACCCTCGAGCTGCATCCTCCCATGAGCACCCCAAAGTGTTCACCTTCGATTCCGTTTATGACTGGAATTCAAAGCAGATGGAGCTCTACGATGAGACTTTCCGCCCATTGGTAGACTCTGTACTGTTCGGCTTCAATGGGACCATCTTTGCATACGGCCAGACGGGCACCGGAAAGACTTTCACAATGGAAGGGGTACGAAACGACCCCGACAGGAGGGGTGTCATTCCGAACTCCTTTGAGCACATTTTTACGCACATCTCCCGCTCTCAGAACCAGCAGTACTTGGTCAGGGCTTCATACTTGGAGATTTATCAAGAAGAAATCAGGGACCTCTTATCGAAGGACCAGATGCACCGATTGGAGCTCAAAGAAAGGCCTGATACGGGCGTCTACGTTAAAGACCTCTCTTCTTTTGTTACTAAAAGCGTTCGTGAGATTGAGCATGTGATGAATGTGGGGAACCAGAACCGATCGGTTGGTGCAACTAACATGAATGAGCACAGCTCTCGCTCTCACGCCATCTTTGTCATCACCGTTGAGTGCAGTGAGTTGGGTCCCGATGGAGAGAACCACATTCGGGTTGGGAAACTCAACCTCGTTGACCTGGCAGGAAGTGAACGACAGACCAAAACTGGAGCGCAGGGTGAGCGCTTGAAAGAAGCCACCAAAATCAACCTCTCCTTGTCAGCTTTGGGCAATGTCATCTCAGCGCTGGTGGACGGGAGAAGCACCCACATCCCGTACCGTGACTCTAAGCTTACGAGGCTGCTGCAGGATTCCTTGGGTGGAAATGCCAGGACGGTTATGGTGGCCAACATCGGACCTGCTTCCTACAATGTGGAGGAGACTCTGACCACGCTACGCTATGCAAACCGCGCCAAAAACATCAAGAACAAACCCCGCGTCAATGAAGACCCCAAGGACGCCCTGCTCCGGGAGTTTCAGGAGGAGATCGCCCGCTTGAAAGAACAGTTGGAGAAAAGGTCTGGCAAGAAGAGGAGAAAAAGGAGGAGGAGGAGGGTTGGAGAGGGAGGAGAGGAGTTAGAGGATGGGGAGGATTTTGATGATGAGGACGATGATGAGGACGACGAAGAGGAAGAAATGGGTGCGGATAAGAACATCTCTGATTATTGGCGTGAGCAACAGGAGAAACTGGAGAAGGAGAGGAGGGCCATCATGGAGGACCACAGCCTGGTGGCAGAGGACAAACAGCGGCTGCTGAAAGAGAAGGAGAGAAAGATGGACGATCTTCGCAGAGAGAAGGACGCTTCCGAGATGCTGACGGCCAAAGTTAAGGTTAGACCGTCCAAACCTTGCTATGCTCATTAAGGCCACGTTTACACAAAGCCGGGTATTTAGCAAAACGAATATTTTCCCCCTCTCCGTTGTCAAAAATAACATTGTTTACACACCCGCATAAATACGCCGTCGAGCACCCCAAAGTGTTCACCTTCGATTCCGTTTATGCCAAACTATGCCAAACCTATTGGCGGCAGTGTAGGGGTTAAGGATAAAGCCATCCAAACCGTTTAGAATCCGCAGAATCGACAAGAGAGAACCTAAAACGCCGTTTCTCCCAGTTTACACGACAACACATAACCGCCGTTTTCAGAAATCTCCACTTTGGCCGGATTTTTTAGAAATAATCGTTTTCAGTGATAAAAACTGAGTGTAAATGAGAGGGCAAAACGCAGAGAAATATCTGCGTTTTCCCATCGTGTAAATGGGGCCTAAGGCTGCATTTATTTGATATAACACAATTTTACTGTTTACTGTATTATCAAGTATTATTATAAATGTTTTCTATTTTAATGTAATTTAAAATGTAATTTATTCCTGTAATATCGAAGCTGAATTTTCAAAATCATTACTCCAGTCTTCAGTGTCACATGATCCTTCAGAAATCATTCTAATATGATGATTTGATACTCAAGAATCATTTCTTATTATTATCAATGTTGAAAACAGTGTTCTGCTTAAGTATCTTTTTGTGGAAACCATGATTCATTTTACTGGAACTGTTGATCAACTTAATGTGTCCTTGCTAAATTAAAATATTAATTTCTTTTTATAAAAATCTTAATGACCCCAAACTTTCGAATGGTTATGTTTTTTTTTTAAACCTCGTGAAATTATTGCAAATTTCTTTGTGATAAACATAATGAGTCCCCAAAATATTTAATGTGTAAAAAAAGAAAAAAGAAGAAAAAAACTACAATATTTGTAAAATTATTTAAAAAAAATGAATGTAAAAAATTAAAGGTGTATACTTGGAAAAAATATACATGTAGATATGTTTAAATTAGAGCTGTCAAACGATTAATCATGATTAATTGCATCCAAAATAAAAGTTTGTGTTTACATAATATATGTGGGTGCACTGTGTATAATTATTTTGTTTATATAAATACACACACATGCATGTATATTTAAGAAAAAATATAATTTATATATAAAATATATTTATATATAATATAAATTATATATAAATCTATATACATGAAAATATTTCTTAAATATATACATGCACCCACATATATTATGTAAACACAAACTTTTATTTTGGATGCGATTGATCATAATTAATCGTTTGATAGCCCTAATTTAAATACATCATTTTAAATGTATTATTATTATTTTTTTTTGCATTGGGACAATGGAGACAATGTCATGGAAATGACTAGTCTGGTCAGTCAAACAAAAAAATATACTTTATGCAGCCCAAGAGTCTTTTAACAGATTCATTAAAAGAACCAGCTCATAAGAGTCATGTTTTCATATTAAGATAAGATAAGATAAGATAAGATAAGATAGTACTTTATTGTCCGTGTACACGGAAATTTGTCCGTGTACACGGAAATACTACTCATTTATTTTCTCTGCTCACATTCAATTCCGGCTGCAAACTTGCATCTTTTATAAAATTTAGGAAAGATTCAATAGCATTTGTTTTAAATACATCTGGCTTATCTGATAAGCAGTTAATTGTTCTCAGGCCATGGAGAGCAAGCTGCTGGTGGGAGGGAAGAACATCGTTGACCACACCAATGAGCAGCAGAGGATTCTGGAGCTGAAGAGACAGGAGATCGCTGAACAGGTACAGTTTCCAGTAACACACCGTATAGGGATTGAGCTGGACTGTGTTTCAGTCCTCAAGGTTGCTTCAAAGGAGACAGGTTATTTTAGTCTCCTGATCGTTTGTGATGTGGATATTCTGGGAGGCTGGATTATAAATGGAGAAAAAAAGCTGACTTAAGCATTTTTCTACCTTACAGTCCTGTCTGTGTTTAGTTGGAGCTACATTTACAAACCTTACTTAGAAATTCTGATGCAATATGTAGCCACATCTAAAATGTGATTGGCTAAAAATGTGTATGGTAATTTTCTTGCCGTGGTGATGTTATTAACTTTATATGAGCACTTCTACTTGGGCATATAATGTTTAAACATTTATAATGTGTGTGTGTGTGTGTGTGTGAGAGCAGAAAAGGCGGGAACGGGAGATGAAGCAGGAAATAGAGTGTCGTGATGAAGATACACTGGAGTTGAAAGAGACGTACAGCTCACTGCAGCAGGAAGTGGACATCAAGACCAAGAAACTGAAAAAGGTATTATAGCTTTTACTCATAACAATCTTTATGTTAATTGGACATTTCTTTTTTTTTTTATTCTGCTCTGTTTAGTGTTGCTGCCTAATAGTGGTGCAGGAAACATTATGGTTTATAGGAACTGTACAAATGAACATGTCAAAGTTACAATGGCAGTAGAAAAGCTGCTTGTGCATGTTATCAGATGTATTTTTAGAGTCTAGCTGTATTCTCTGCAGTCATTAGCAGTAGGACAGCTCTCATGACAGATCTCCATTCTCCTGGTTGAGAATCATCCATACATGACTGAATGTGACCTCCTTTTGCCTGTGTTTAGAGCATATGAGTGATTCTATAATTGGAGATACATTTTGCAAGAAGTTAAGGAAAAAAACTGCTCACTAACAGGAATTCTTTCCAGTATCTTATTGAAAACATATTCCATTTTAATAATTCAGTGCTTGCCAAATACAGGTTTCTTCCTTTTTTTTTTTGTAGCAATGTTTGTCAATTCTGTTACTGTTAATTCTGTTACATACCGTCAAAATTGTTACGCTACCATGGTAACCATATTGACAATTTTAAAAGTTTTAGCCCAAAACTCCACTTGCTAGGACAAGTGCCAAGATCACATAGCACTAATGAAATCATGGTTAAAGGGGTCATGAACAGGCTTTTTAAATTTTATTATATTGTTGTCTGAGGTCAACTTATGATGTTCGCTTGGTTTTTGCATTCAAAAACATCAAAATGAATAAGTAATAGGCTATTTTCTACCCTAGTTTTGAGCCTAGGTTTTAATGGGCGTCTCACACTGAAGACTTGGAAGTAAACGCCCACTGCTGTGAGTGGATAACAGTTTTGCATTTTATAATGAGTTTCAACTCACTTGTCAGTGCACGTGGGGGAAATTGTTTTGAAAACGTCCAATATTGTAAAATGGCAACCGGAATGATTCGCCCGTACATGTTCGACCCAGAGTCCGTGTGTTGCACCATTCCTGTCGGATCCAATATAGACGGCACAGCACCGTTCTTTACTTTTAATCGGTCTGCAAATCCAGTCTTGTTTACAAAACAATCCTCAGTGAAATGAAGCGAACAGACGGACAATGTTTTACACTCACCAGCTGGAACGTCATTAAAAATAAAGTTTAACCATGCAGTCCTATTGGAATCCAGAGGAAGCATATTCAGCAACTGTCTTTTTCCACAACCAGGTACTGCACAATATTCTGTATTGCTCGGTAGCTTGATCCGGTTTGTCATCACGAGGTAGGCCTATGTTATTTAGCTATGCGTGTAATGCGCGAATCGGTGGGCGGGGCTATACCGGCTGTTGTAGCCGGTTGAAGTAGGCGTTGATCTTCTTCTGCGGGGGTGGTGTTTTATCCTCTTTGATGTCATAGTTTCCCACTTTGAAAAACGAGTCGTTTGCTGGGGCTGGTGTCAATAAAAGCTTTTTATTGGACTAACAAGGACGTTTTCAGTTTTGAAACTTACTGGAGATTCTTAGAATATGATGACATCTTAGATGTCAAAAGCTCAAGGAAAATTTGATTTCTCAGTTCATCACCCATTTAAAAGACTTTTAAACAACCTACTATGTGATCAGTGATAAATTCTGTTTTCCTTTTAATATTGTGGTTACAATTTTGAGGTTTAACAAAATAACTTTTAGATTTTAAATTCAAATATTTTCTCAGAGAGAGCACACATACCTTTCAGTGCTTCAGGTCTTATCAGTGAGGGAAAGTGACACCATTTCCTGTATTTTACATAGTTGTGGGAGATTATTCCACCAATTTAAAGGCAAAGTACGGTACGGTAACAGAATTAACAAAAGATTTATGGAGACATTTTTATAAGATAAAAGTTATTTTGAAACAATTTAACATTGGAGAATAAGGACAATGACTATTTAGGGTTTTTATAAATAAACTAAATTAAATATTACTAATAGAAAAGTAAAAATATATTTTGATCACACAATGATACATGATGGAAAAATACACTAATTCGGACAAGAAATCATTATATTGTTAAATATTATGCACGATATTATATTGTTATGGCCTGTAACATCTTGATCCATGATAATAAGCAACAAATTATTAAAGTATTTTAAAATATAACAAGGACAAAAATATGATGACTTTGGACACCAATGTATCTGCAATTATAGAATCACCCATATGCCTTACCCATTCCTATAAAGAGCTTAATCTTATTTGAATGTCTTGTCTGTTTCTGTCTCCTTCATGTAGCTCTTTTCCAAGCTCCAGTCCGTGAAGGCGGAGATTCAGGATGCCCAGGATGAACATGTCAAATACAGGCAGGAGCTGGAGCAGACTCAGAACGAGCTGACCAGAGAACTCAAACTCAAGTATGTCAACCCAGAATCCGCATTACCAGAATTTAGGCATCATTCAAAATGCTGATGTTGGCTTCTAAATGAAAATGGATATTCGTTTTGAGGTTTGATAAAGATTACATTTAACAGTAGCGTTTTTAAATCATCTTATCAGAAAGCTCAAACATGCCGATAAAGAAATGATAGATTTAATGGTTTTGTTTCTATTGTGTGTAGTGTGTTCTGACCTAAGTTGTGTTGGCCTGACTTCTTGTAACTTTGGACTCAGCACTACTGCATTACAGATGTCAACAGTTTAATGCACACTCACTAAGACTCTAGTGTACTGAGCGATCTCTAAAGTGGAGTATCCATTAAGGAAGATTCACCTGACAGGCTGCTTTTGAGTGCGGTTGGCAGAATGAGTTTAAGGTTAATGGGAAATATCTTGAGTGTTCAAGATAAAAAAAGGAGAGATGTTCCAACTTCTTGATGTGGCTTTCAAAAAACATTTTTAATAAAGGTTTTTATCTTATGAAATATAAAAATATCATGTGATACTGTATCACATGATATCACAAGTATTAAAAAAGTAATACAATTTTCCTTAACTCCACCACATGTGAATGCCCACATCTGTTTCATTATCTGAAATTTTCAAAGTGTAAAAGTATCATTTAAAAAAATCATTTTCTACCCTGATGAGTCATACAATCATACAGTCATGAGTGCTTATAGGTGTGTTTTTTTGTCATATAACTTACTGTTTACTTTCCCAGCTTGATGGTCATACACTTTATTTTTCGGTGTTGTTATTTAACATGTAATTACTGTAGTAATAACAGCAAATTATGCATAATTACATGAAACTAACCCTAAATCAATCCCTATTCCTAACCCTATTGTAAGTACACGTTGTTAATTGATATTACTTAAATGTAATTACACTGTAACAAGGACACCTTTTACCTATACCTTTTCAAATATTAATATTTTAAGAAATTTTCTTCACTGTTTTTAATAATAATAATAATATTATGCCAAAACTTCAAGGTTTAATAGTTTAAGGTATTTTTTCTTCATTTTGAGGACAGTTGTATCAATCTCCAAAAACATTCAGAAATTAAAAGCATGTTTTCATGGAAGGGGTCATTATATAAGGCATTTTGAATAATGAAAAGATCCTCAACATCATGTCATTGACTTGTTAACTTTTCTGTCATACCCACCAGACATCTGATTATCGAGAACTTCATCCCACTGGAGGAGAAGAGCAAGATTGTGACTAGAGCCACTTTTGACGAGGAAGATGACCTCTGGAAAATGACCCCTATCACCCGCATTCAAAAGTATGTCGGCTGATTTTGGAAATTTGAACCTTGGAAATGATTTGTTAAGTGTAATTTTATGGCCACCAACATCCTTGCTTCACTGTAACGTTTGTTGTTTTTCTCAGTGATCAGCAGATGATGAAAAGGCCTGTTTCTGCAGTCGGCTACAGACGGCCTCTGAGTCAGCATGCCCGTATGGCCATGTTGATGCGGCCTGATGTCAGATACAAGGTATGCTGACACTGTTCCCATAATCCTCCACATGGCACTACACAACGCCTTTAGTTACAACACTCCCTCACTCTTTACAGTGACACAGATGAGCTCAAGAATCAAACGCACATTGTATCCTTGATCTTGTGATTGTCTCCCCGCCCGTCTTCCAGGCTGAGAACATCCTGCTGCTGGAGTTGGATTTGCCCACACGTACCACAAAAGACTACGAGGGACCGGTGATAGCACCTAAAGTGGCTGCGGCTCTGGAGGACGCTCTGAGAGAGGAGGACGAAATCCAGGTGGACGCCTCTGGCCTCCGTGCCAGCCTTGGCTCCAGTCCAGGCCTCAGCGCCACCGCTGCTGGGTTTTCCAAGAAACCAAAGTCAGGGTGAGAAATGGTCCCTCGAACTAGGGCTGCACATTATATTGAGAAAAAATACGATATTGCCATATGGCTTGATGCTATTGTCAAATCATGCAGATTGCCGAGTAGGGATGCAAACGGTTAATCGATTATCGATTAATTGTCGACAAGAATTTACTCAATTAAATTAATTGTCAGCTAATTGAACATTGCGAACGTGACACGATGTTCTCACTCGAGAGAGCCGACACAAACTTGAGGCGGCAAAAAAGAAACTAAACATGAGGCGGTCATTGATATTGACTACCAACTATACAGCGTGCTAACCTCGAAAATCCAGCTGTATTGTAACAATAAATCAGCTTATACCCGTCAACGCTCCCGTTTTCCCAGGTTTCTCCCGTTTTTTTTTAAGCCCTATCTCTCGACGCCTTACGGTTTGTTATTTTTCCCGGGAAACTAGTCTAACTGTCTGTCACACTTTCATACATGGTGTGTTCACTTCGTGTAGACAGCAAAAGGGGTGTTCGTCAAGGCGCACGGCACATGCAATAGTTCAACAGGGAGCGCGCCGCGCTGCTCTTAAAGGGGCCACACCTTATTTCCACTCGTTACAAGTTGTACATTTGACTTCCCCCTCAGCCTATATTATAAATGGTGCTGTTAATGTTTCAAGTTTTTTTTTATACAAGTATTTTAGCAGATAGATTATTGTAAGTAGGCTTAATATAGTGTTGGAAGGATAAGCTTACCCATATAGATTTTTATTTAAAATTTATTTTATGTTGCTTAATGTTTCACATGCAACAGGTGAGCCAATGCACAATTATTTTTTATGTATTTAAATTTTCTGTGCATAATCTATTTTGTTAAACTACATAAATGCCATTATTCTGTGACGTATCCCAACTGTTATATAACATGCATTTTTATTCAGTATAAGCAATATTCGAGGGCTTGGAGCCAGAAGGGCGTAAGTGGCTTTTAGCAAACTTTACAGGAAAGACAAAACAAAATTTTGACCACGCTTCAATCACCTGTATTATTAACCTTAAACCACAAACATTGCAACCACAGGCATACTTATATGAAACTAGTATTTAAGTAAAAATCTATGGCATATTAACACAATGAATATGTTCTAAAACCTCAAATAAGTCAGATACGCCTTTTTGTTGCTTTATTCAATACAGTTTGATCTCAGATAGGTATTTTTGGCACCATTGAATAGAGCTCATCGAGACCTTTATTTTTATATTAAGAACTCATATTCGCCCAAAATGCCACTCTGGCTCCAAACCCTCGTATTTAGCTTTTTATGTTAATTTGATACCGTGAGAAATTTACATTCTCAGGAAAATAGGCGATTATCAGTTAATCGTTAATCGATCGATAAGGTTGACTAATGATTAATGAATTAATTGATAATTTGCATCCCTATTGCAGAGTTTCACTTATTTTACAGTACAACAGTTACAATATATTTATTTTGTTTAATATATCATTTAATAATAACTATTAAAAAATCATTATTATTTTATACTGAATTGGTCAAGAACAGTGGGAATATACCATATGCTTATTTCTAGTTTTATTTTTATTTTTTTTAACCTCTGGCCACTTTATGGTTGCTGAAAGGTATGTGTTAGTTCTGGTAAATAGTAAACTCGAGTGTGAACACACAAATTTTAACAGAATGGAATGAAGCAATGAAATGATAAAATAAATAAATGAAAAAAACTAAATTAAATAAAGTAAAGAAAAACAAATGATTCAGTTTTAAAGGATTATATCTTTTTTTTTTTACAATCAATTTTTTTTTTACAATTTTTTTTTTTTTTTTTACAATTTTTTTTCTCCAATGATTCTAGAATGATTACTTCTTACCTAATAATATATAGCTATTTTAGTTGTCTGATGAGTATTCATGTATTTCTTCATATCGCAGAAAAAAGAAATCGCAATGTCAGTTTTTTCCAATATGGTGCAGCCCTACCTTCAACCTCTTCCCTTTTATTATTCACCTTTATTTATCCTACCTTAATATACTTTTTTGTTTTCCCCCATTATCATCTTACAGCCGCCCAAAAACTGGCAAGAAGGTGAGCACTCCAACTTCAGCTCACAGCCCTTTGTCCGGCTCAGGGTCCCCTCTTTACCCACAATCTCGAGGCCTTGTGCCTAAGTGACCCCGGCCTTCGCTGCTACGTATGAACTAACCAGCTTTGGCATCAATGCTCTTAAATGCCAGGCAAAATCAGTTGCATTAAAGACGGTGGAACGTCTCATCGAGCTCCTCCTGGTGTGGCATTTAAACCAATCGGCCTCCACTTAATGCTTGATCTTTCATACCACCTTGTTTTTAGATGTCCTTTTGACGTCATATTTATCGCACAAAAAAAAGTTACATTTGGCAACCTTCAAAGTCTTAAAGCTCACCTCAAGATGACCTTCCACAGATTTAGATTGCACTTGAACAAAATGTTACATGTGTGTATGTGTGAGGTCATTGAGACAGCAGATGGTCTCGGCATTGTGACCAAATGTGTTAGATTCGTCATTGTGTGTATGCTTTTGTGTGTGTCTACCTTTTCCATTTGTGGGAATAACGTTTCCCACAAAAAAGTAGTCGAAGACGATATTGTTGAGGGAGCTTAAGGACATTTTGCGATTGCCCGAGACCCAAACAACTTCTAAGCCTTTCTCAAAGACTATTTGAGTCTCTTTGGCTGTGGGAAGGGTCGCTGTATCCAGTTAAGAAAGGATTTGGGAAGTTTGAAGGTCATCACACACTAAGATTATCAGGGTTCCAAGGTGCCTTAGATTCTCATTGAGTACATAAGGGGGTCTCCTGGTGGGCTGAGAGTCCCTTGACCTGAAGAACCTGTAATCCAGTCAACATCCCCCAGTGGATGTTTCCTGAATGCTTTGATTTACACTATAAGTCTGTTGTGTTGGGCAGGCTTGTATTTAATGGTTAAATGTTACACACAGAGATCTGTAAACATGAGGAAGTCTTATATCGGTCTGTAAAATTGTCAAACCGTCACTAGCCCTCCTTGAACTAGTGAAGGTAATACCAATGCCTGCTGCTGCTGTAGGGTTCTTTTACCCCGTGTCATAGCATACGGCTTATGTATATTGAGAGATGTTAGTAAATAAATCTGCATTACTATTGCAGTTGTATTAAAATAGTAATAAAAAAAGAATAATAAATGCGTCTGGGAGTGACATTTAAAAGGCTAACTTGTTAGCATACTCGTTGGTTTTATATTCAAGCAATTGTAGATAGTTTTTAACAGTTGTTTTCTTTGCTTAGATTTATATGGTTTATTTTGGAATTTTTGTATTTAAAGTTCTGTACAAATTTATTTTTGCATTCGAGATTTAAGTATAATTTCCATGTGATTTACTAAATTCTTCTGTTTTAAGCAGATTAAATTAAATAGTAAACCGTTTTTGGATTATCAGAATGTGTACTGCAAATCCTGGTGCTGGTATTCTCATTGAAATGTGTGTATTTCTTCATTTAAATATGCATATTCTAATTCATATTACTGGCTGTATTATTGCATAGTCTATACTATTTTTAAGTTTTAGTATACATGAACATCTAAAGCATTATAGACTAAATGAAACTATATGTCTGCACTAATACTCCACTTAGTTACACCTTACATGTGATGCATGAGTTTAGTGCTGATAAGCAACAAATATTTTTAATGTTTAGAAATACTGATGTTCTTATATTTTAATTAAATTATGAGTAATATGTTTGACTGTGCAGGAGCTGATCCCCTTTTTATTCAGATTTAATTTTTAATTTCTTATTCCACCAAAAATCATAGTTTAACTTCCATAAGTAATAAATAATCCAAACTTTGCATTGTTTCACCCTAACGTCCTCCTGGGGCCCGTTCTTCGTATGTCGCTAACTCAGCAGGATTTGATTTTTGGCGATTTGCCATGATCTTGGAATGTTTGGTTCTTCGACGCTCATCCTTGACTTGCTGTCATAGCAAAAGGTCCGTCAGCTTGAACCTGCTCGCGAGCAGGTTTATTTCATGTTAGCAGGAGTAGATCGTGGCTGATACGGGAAGTCCTTTAGTGCAGCGCAATATTGTAGCGTAATTTCTGAGATTTATTTCTTTTTTTCTCGTGAAATGATCGTCGTGACTCGTGAGGGTGACGTTTATACATTATTATTTTGTTGGAAATGCACATTAATGTTCGATTTGATGTCGGGCTTCAACAACAGCACAAAATGTTCAACCCGGTATCACGACAAGACGTGAAATAATCACGTTGGTCCACTTTGGAAAACGTGTAGATGTCACGGTTTAACCCCCTCAAACGTGAAATTTACACGTTTGCGTAACACGTTCCAGTGGAGAGATACCCGGATGTTAACCTATTCTAAAAGTATAACATTACAAATGCAGCGAACACATACTGTCTCCTAATCTGTAAGCACTAAGGTGCTAATCTATAGGTGTGTTCCATTCGACCGTAAGTGGACTGCGAAGTGGACTTTCGCCATCTTAAGTGAGATTCCAATTCGAAGGGAACGAACATGTTCAGTTCGAAGGGCACTGCAAACGGCATAGGGAATAAGGGAACATCGATACATCACTTCACAGGAAGTCAGTGAAGTCCACTTCAACTGATATACCATGTTCAGGGAGTAGGGAGCAGTGAACCCTGCATAGGGACCCTGTCGAATGGAACGCACCTTATGGCACTAAAGTTACAGGAGTTTCTTCCCGTTGCTAAGCAACGGAACTAGGTCGAGTATTTAAAAGGTTATGGTTCACACAGTTAACGTGGTTTAACGTTGATAATACGTTGTTTTAGCGTACCTTTTTCTTAACCCCCTCAGACCTGAATTATGTTTCAAGTTTCTGAAAAATATAAAAGTACATTTTCCCAGCTCATGAGGTTTCTATAAATGAAAACAAATGGAAAACAAATATATATATATATATATATAAATGCTTCCATTGTGATTTTTTTTTTGTCCATTCCAATGGACATCAGGTCAAAACAGGTGTACTTCCCAAAAATGTACAAACGCCCTCTGATCTTAGACCTGAGTGCAAAAATGGAGTCTCTAGACCCTTCCAGAGCTGAGATACGGACATCCCACGTAGCATTTATGCCATTATAAAAATAGTGGGTTCGTGGACAGTGAAATTATGGGATGGCGCTTGGTGCTACTGACTCAGGGGAGCCTCCTGAGTGCAGTAAAATAGTTTTTTATCATGAAAGAAACTTTAATTAAAATGTCCAAAAAATACTCAAAACCCCATTCAATATATTGCAGTCGGGATTCTGTCCATTTGCAGCTTATTGCATGAAGGTCAGGGTTAGTACTTTTCAAATACAGTCGGTTATTGGACAAATAGTGGGTTTTTGGACACGTGGTTTTTAAGCTTAGCTTTCAAAATATTTGGATGAAAACCATTTATCTGCACTCAGGAGGCTCCCCTGAGTCCGTAGCACCAAGCCACATCCCATAATTCCACCGTCCACGAACCCACTATTTTTATGGCATACATGCTATGTGGGATGTCCATATCTCAGCTATGGAAGGGTCTAGAGACTCCATTTTTGCACTCAGGTCTAAGTCTCATGGCCCTCTATCAGAATTTGGGAAGATTGGAGAAACTTAATTTTTCGCCCAAAAAAAAAAACGTAAGGGGTACCACTGTCGTTTTTTTTTCGGGCCGAATTTTTGAGTTTCGATATCTCAGCTCTGGAAGGGGCTAGAGCCTCCATTTTTGCACTCAGGTCAAAGTCTCATGGCCCTCTATCAGAATCCAGAGTTTTGGAAGATTGGAGAACTTAATTTTTCGCCCAAAAAAAAAAAAACGTAAGGGGTACCACTGTCGTTTTTTTTTCGGGCCGAATTTTTGATTTCGATATCTCAGCTCTGGAAGGGGCTAGAGCCTCCATTTTTGCACTCAGGTCTAAGTCTCATGGCCCTCTATCAGAATCCAGAGTTTTGGAAGATTGGAGAAACTTAATTTTTCGCCTGTCGTTTTTTTTTCGGGCCGAATTTTTGAGTTTCGATATCTCAGCTCTGGAAGGGGCTAGAGCCTCCATTTTTGCACTCAGGTCTAAGTCTCATGGCCCTCTATCAGAATCCAGAGTTTTGGAAGATTGGAGAAACTTAATTTTTCGCCCCCAAAAAAAAAAAAAACGTAAGGGGTACCACTGTCGTTTTTTTTTCGGGCCGAATTTTTGAGTTTCGATATCTCAGCTCTGGAAGGGGCTAGAGCCTCCATTTTTGCACTCAGGTCTAAGTCTCATGGCCCTCTATCAGAATCCAGAGTTTTGGGAAGATTGGAGAAACTTAATTTTTCGCCCCAAAAAAAAACGTAAGGGGTACCACTGTCGTTTTTTTTTCGGGCCGAATTTTTGAGTTTCGATATCTCAGCTCTGGAAGGGGCTAGAGCCTCCATTTTTGCACTCAGGTCTAAGTCTCATGGCCCTCTATCAGAATTTGGGAAGATTGGAGAAACTTAATTTTTCGCCCCAAAAAAAAACGTAAGGGGTACCACTGTCGTTTTTTTTTCGGGCCGAATTTTTGAGTTTCGATATCTCAGCTCTGGAAGGGGCTAGAGCCTCCATTTTTGCACTCAGGTCTAAGTCTCATGGCCCTCTATCAGAATTTGGGAAGATTGGAGAAACTTAATTTTTCGCCCAAAAAAAAACGTAAGGGGTACCACTGTCGTTTTTTTTTTCGGGCCGAATTTTTGAGTTTCGATATCTCAGCTCTGGAAGGGGCTAGAGCCTCCATTTTTGCACTCAGGTCTAAGTCTCATGGCCCTCTATCAGAATTTGGGAAGATTGGAGAAACTTAATTTTTCGCCCAAAAAAAAAAACGTAAGGGGTACCACTGTCGTTTTTTTTTCGGGCCGAATTTTTGAGTTTCGATATCTCAGCTCTGGAAGGGGCTAGAGCCTCCATTTTTGCACTCAGGTCTAAGTCTCATGGCCCTCTATCAGAATTTGGGAAGATTGGAGAAACTTAATTTTTCGCCCAAAAAAAAAAACGTAAGGGGTACCACTGTCGTTTTTTTTTTCGGGCCGAATTTTTGAGTTTCGATATCTCAGCTCTGGAAGGGGCTAGAGCCTCCATTTTTGCACTCAGGTCTAAGTCTCATGGCCCTCTATCAGAATTTGGGAAGATTGGAGAAACTTAATTTTTCGCCCAAAAAAAAAAACGTAAGGGGTACCACTGTCGTTTTTTTTTCGGGCCGAATTTTTGAGTTTCGATATCTCAGCTCTGGAAGGGGCTAGAGCCTCCATTTTTGCACTCAGGTCTAAGTCTCATGGCCCTCTATCAGAATTTGGGAAGATTGGAGAAACTTAATTTTTCGCCCAAAAAAAAAAACGTAAGGGGTACCACTGTCGTTTTTTTTTCGGGCCGAATTTTTGAGTTTCGATATCTCAGCTCTGGAAGGGGCTAGAGCCTCCATTTTTGCACTCAGGTCTAAGTCTCATGGCCCTCTATCAGAATTTGGGAAGATTGGAGAAACTTAATTTTTCGCCCAAAAAAAAACGTAAGGGGTACCACTGTCGTTTTTTTTTCGGGCCGAATTTTTGAGTTTCGATATCTCAGCTCTGGAAGGGGCTAGAGCCTCCATTTTTGCACTCAGGTCTAAGTCTCATGGCCCTCTATCAGAATCCAGAGTTTTGGGAAGATTGGAGAAACTTAATTTTTCGCCCAAAAAAAAAAACGTAAGGGGTACCACTGTCGTTTTTTTTTTCGGGCCGAATTTTTGAGTTTCGATATCTCAGCTCTGGAAGGGGCTAGAGCCTCCATTTTTGCACTCAGGTCTAAGTCTCATGGCCCTCTATCAGAAGTTTTGGGAAGATTGGAGAAACTTAATTTTTCGCCCAAAAAAAAAAACGTAAGGGGTACCACTGTCGTTTTTTTTTCGGGCCGAATTTTTGAGTTTCGATATCTCAGCTCTGGAAGGGGCTAGAGCCTCCATTTTTGCACTCAGGTCTAAGTCTCATGGCCCTCTATCAGAATCCAGAGTTTTGGGAAGATTGGAGAAACTTAATTTTTCGCCCAAAAAAAAAAACGTAAGGGGTACCACTGTCGTTTTTTTTTCGGGCCGAATTTTTGAGTTTCGATATCTCAGCTCTGGAAGGGGCTAGAGCCTCCATTTTTGCACTCAGGTCTAAGTCTCATGGCCCTCTATCAGAATTTGGGAAGATTGGAGAAACTTAATTTTTCGCCCAAAAAAAAAAAACGTAAGGGGTACCACTGTCGTTTTTTTTTCGGGCCGAATTTTTGAGTTTCGATATCTCAGCTCTGGAAGGGGCTAGAGCCTCCATTTTTGCACTCAGGTCTAAGTCTCATGGCCCTCTATCAGAATCCAGAGTTTTGGGAAGATTGGAGAAACTTAATTTTTCGCCCAAAAAAAAAAACGTAAGGGGTACC